TTTTGCATGGGGGCCGGAGGACATGCCCGGAATCAGCCGAAGGGTCATCACCCACCGCCTCTCGGTGGACCCTTCGGCAAGACCTATACAACAGCGAAGAAGGCCCCTCTCGGCCGAGAGGAGGGAATTTGTGAAGAACGAGGTTGCCATGCTCCTCTCCATCAAACACATCAAGGAGGTGAAATACCCCTCGTGGCTGGCGAACGTAGTCCTCGCACAGAAGCCACCCAACTTCCGCATGTGCGTGGACTACACGGATCTCAACAAGGCGTGCCCTATGGACCCTTTCCCTCTGCCGAACAACCATCAACTCGTGGATGAGACCGCGGGGTGCGAAATCATGTCGTTCCTCGACGCATTCCGCGGATATCACCAGATTTTTATGCATGAGGAAGACGCAGAAAAAACAACCTTCATGACTCCCGAGGGCATATTCTGCTATCTTGTCATGGCCTTCAGCCTGAAGAACTCAGGCGCCACTTACATCCGCGTGGTGGCCAGAGTCTTTCAGGCCGTCCTATGGCGCACCATGGAGGCCTATGTTGACGACATGATCGTCAAAAGCAAACAATCATCAAGCCATGCTGACGACCTCCGAGAGATCTTCACCATCATGCAAAAGTTCAACCTTCGGCTAAACCCGAAGAAATGCACCTTTGGTGTGCAAGGAGGCAAATTCCTAGGCTACATGGTGAGCCGAAGGGGTATTGAGGCCAACCCCGAGAAAATTCAGGCCATCATTAACATGGAGCCCCCACGCAACGTGAAGGAGGTCTAACGGTTGACGGGCCGCCTGGCATCCCTCAACCGCTTCCTATCCAAATCAGCGGAGAAGTCCTTACCCTTCTTCCAGATCATGAGGAAGACCGTCGGCTTCCAATGGACCTCAGAATGCCAGGAGGCCTTCGACGAGCTAAAACGGTATTTATCTTCACCCCCTGTGCTCTCCAAACCCAAGGTAGGGGAAACTCTATACCTTTACCTTGGAGTCAGCCTGGCTGCCATTAGCTCAGTGCTCATCCAGGAGGAAGATGGCGTCCAACATGCCATCTTCTATGTTAGCAAGACCCTCAGGGAGGCCGAACTCAGGTACTCCCCCGCGGAAAAAACAGTCCTAGCCATTGTTTGGACTGTGAAGAAGCTTGACCACTACTTTCAGGCCCATCCGGGCCAGGTCCTCACTCACCAACCCCTCGGCGCCTTGATGAGGAGCCCCACCAGCTCCTCCTGAATGGTAAAATGGGCCATCTTCCTCAGCCAATACAACATTGACATCCGTCCGAGGCCTGCCATAAAGGGCCAAGCCCTGGCTGACTTCGTGACGGAGTGGTGGACCCTCTATACCGATGGCTCCTCAGCCACCAAAGCATGCGGGGGAGGAGTAGTTCTCATTACTTCCGAGGGCTTCCGGGCCTACTATGCCATCCGCTTCTCCTTCAAAGTCTCCAACAACGAAGCAGAATATGAAGCCCTCCTCTGTGGCCTTCGGTTGGCAGCAAATATGAAGGCCAGAATGATCCACGTCAAGTGTGACTCCAAGCTTGTCGTGGGCCAAATCTCCGGGGAGTATGAGGCCAAGGAAGGGAGGATGAAACAATACAAGGAGGTGGCTAAAGAATTGCTCAAGGTATTTGAGGCACACTCTCTCACCCAAATACCGAGGGCTCAAAATTCTGAGGCTGATATTTTATCAAAACTCTCGGATGAATCCCTCGGGCACATCTCTAAAATCGCAAGGATAGAAGAACTTAGCCTCTCGAGCATACACGCCCGCCCCATCATGAACACCCATCAAAGGCAAGAGGACTGGATCTCAGACTTCATCGCCTTCATCACCACAGGTTAACTACCCGAGGATGAAGCCCGGACCAAACTAGCAAAGCTGAGGGATCCCAGCTACACCATCGAAGACGGAAGGCTCTACAAACGATCTTACAACGACACACTACTCCGATGCCTTCATCAAGACGAAGCCGAAGTCGCCATGGAGGAAGTGCACAGTGGCACTTGCTCAGCTCACCAGGGACCCTTCTCCATGTCCCGAAGACTCATAGTCCAGGCTTATTTCTGGCCTACGATGGCCCGAGATTGTGCGGATCTCGCCCGAAGGTGTGCTGCCTGTCAACACTTTCAGAAGGCTCCCAGCAGGCCAACAGTCAACTATGCCCCCATCAGCACCTCCATACCCTTCTCTAGATGGGGCATAGACCTTGTGGGCCCTCTACCGAGGGGTACCTCCAACAACAGGTACATCATCATTGCCATCGACTACTTCACCAAATGGGTGGAGGCTGAGCCCCTCGCCAACATCAACGAAGCCAGATGCCACCACTTTGTCCTCAAAAACATCCTCACAAGGTTCGGTGTCCCTTAGCAAATCATCTCCGACAACGGGACTCAATTTGAGGCAGCCCCCTTCTGTGTCCTCCTTGAAGCATGGGGCATTAAACATACCTTCTCATCTGTTGCTTACACTCAAGGCAACAGTCAAGTGGAGAACGCCAACCGGACATTACTTGAGGGCCTAAAAAAGAAGCTGGAGGCCGAAGGGGGAGGCTGGGTAGAAGAACTACACAACATCCTATGGGCTTACCGCACCACCCCTCGGCGGGCAACAGGTGAAACACGCTTCTCCCTGTGCTATGGATTTGAGGCTAAAGCTTCCACTGAAGTGACCCTTCCTACCCGAAGGGTGGCCCAATGTGATCCGGAAGTTAACGACGCCAACATGGCCCTCGACCTTCACTTCATTTCAGAACGCCGAGACAAGCCTTCATACGAGCGGAAAACTACCGAAGGCAAGTCAAAAGCTACATCGACGCCAAGGTCCGCTCTCGAGAATTCCAAGTGGGGGATTATGTCCTCCGACGGAGGGAAGCTAGCCAACCAACTGAGGGCGGCAAGATGGCACCTAAGTTTGAGGGCCCTTACATCGTAGCAGCCATCATCAAACCTGGGACTTACAAAGTCAAACGCCCCAATGGGACAAAGGTCCCTAGACATTGGAATGTACATCACCTAGTTAAATTTTACCAGTAGTATTAGAGCGGCCAAGCCCTCATAACTAATGAATGTATTATCCTACGACCCAAGGCCTTCAAATTTGAAGACATATTGAAGACACCAAGAACAAGAAAAAAGACACATGTGAGCGGCCAAGCCCTCATGCAGACTACTGGCCAGAGGCCTTGTCACAAGCAAGACCCTTCGGCACCAAGTGCTAAGGGTAGACACTCCAATCACCTACGACAAATGAAGGAAACACTAAGTGTTTTTAAGAAGACCCCTCGGTACCAAGTACCGGGGACCGTACTCCTATCAACTCCAGGCAGAGGAAAACACCAAGTGTTTCCTTTGAAGACCCCTCGGTACCAAGTATCGGGAGCCGTATGCTGAAACAAACACCAAGTATGGTTTCTGAAGCCGTACCCCTCGAGGACGCATTTATACCGAAGGCGCCACCTATCGGTGTCGGCGGCACGTAGTGCCCCCGGCCATTTGCAACCCGTGTGCAAATGAAAACCCTTCCTTGAAACGCTTTCCGCGTCATTACCCTAAGGGAATGATAGGCCACTAATATGCCCACGATTCGACTTTCAAAAACGGAACACTTTCCGCGCCATTGCCCCAAGGGAGTGGCAGGCATCTAATATGCCCAGGATTCGACTTCCAAAACGAAACGCTCCCCGCGCCATTACCCCAAGGGTATGGCAGGCCACAGACTATGTCTGGCGCCGAGAGGACGACTTTCAAAACTGAGGCGCTTTCCGTGCCGTCCCCCAAGGGGAGGTAGGCTACAGACTATGTCTTATGCCGAGGAAACGACCCTCGATCCCCTCGGAACTCGGAAGGTTAACCCGAGGGGGGAGCTAATGGTGTATGTTGTTGCCTCCCGATAGGCCAAGCCTTACCAAGAAACCAAGTTTCTTGAAGCCTTCCCTTCACCACCAAAAAAAAGAGGTAAAGAGGAGTAGACTCAACGAGCAATCAATGAGTACACAACTCCAACAATCCACGACGGAATACCCTTCGGCAAACAGGAAGAAGGGTTGTTACAAAACAGAAAGGTCATACCGAGGGTTCTCCCATGGGAATACCCCCGGTACCAGGAAGCTACTAATTCCAGAAGGCTGCCATTCAACAAATACCATCAGGAAATGGCAACACCGAAGGCTCTTCAAGGGATTAAAATTGCCTAAGTCCACTCAACAACGAATCAAGGGATACCGAAGGCACCCACTCTCCGTCCGCCTTTACTACAACATGAATGTCTTACAAAATTTTGCTAAGTCCACACTTTGGAACCCACTATGGCCGAGGGCGCCTGCTACACGATACTGAAGGCGAGTACCCGCAGACATGATCTTGAATTTCCTGAGTCCAAGTTCCAGCAACCCTCGGTACTACAATGAACACTGGAGGCTAGTACTCACAGGGCTCATTTACCGAAGGCCAAATAACAAGTGACGCTTGGGAACTTTTTCTAAGTCCCAAATATTAGGCCCTCGGTCCAATCACCACACAAATTAGGGGGCCTAATAACTGAGGGCCACACAATGCAAACCACTTGGAAAAATTTTCTAAGTCCTAAATATTTGACCCTCAGTCAAATCTCCATGCAGCCAGAGGGGCCACACAACCGAAGGCTTATTGGTGAAATTACACTTAGAAAAATTTTCTAAATCCTGAATATTTGGCCCTCGGTCAAATCTCCATGCAGCCAGAGGGGTCACACAACCGGAGGCTCAGTGGTGAAACTACACTTGGAAAAATTTTCTAAGTCCTAAATATTTGGCCCTCGGTCAAATCTCCATGCAGCCAGAGGGGTCACATAACCGAAGGCTTAGTGGTAAAACTACACTTAGTAAAATCTCCAAGTCCTAAAATGACTGGCCCTCGGTCAATTCATGCCGGCCACACAAGATCAGAAGGAAGCATCGACCGAAGGCCCGACACTGAACAACACTTAGAATAATTTTCTAAGTCCTAAATGATTGGCCCTCGATCAAATCATAATGCAGACATACGTACAGACAACTATGAAAAGTCATGAAAGAAGTCGAAGGTATCAGACAATACATTCATTCAACAGAAGAATAGAAGGGAATAAAGTTAAACGACCCGGAGGCAGACGATCATTCACCAAAAAAAGAGGAGAAAAGTAGATTCATACATCTCAAAAGCCCGAAGGCGTCATCCATAAAAAAGAAAAAGAATAATGTTAAGTGTTTGGTACAAACGGCCCGAAGCCGAAACCTATAAACTGTCACAAATGTTTATACTTGGAAGGAATTCTAAGATTGTGCTTCTTTGGCTGCATCTCCCTTCGGCTTGGAGGAAGCATCACCCTCGACATCTTCATCCTCATCATCGTCACATCTGGCCAACTCAGAGTCTTCGAGCAGCACCCTCTCTTAGCCCTCGGGAAGAGGAGACCTAACATCCTGCTGGATGGGAGGGAGACCGTAGGTGCCAGGCTGGAAGTCTTTCAGGTCCGCGCCAAAATGCCGGGCCACCTTCCGGTAGATATTAGCTTGGGTGAAATACTCACCACCCTCATAAAAACTCTTACCCTTTCGGGCAAGCCACATCGCATCGGGGCCTGCAACCCATGGATCGACAGACTGCTCAACCACCGAGGCCACCCACTCTTTGTGCCCTTTGGCTCTCCAACCCTCAGTAAGGAAGGCGGCCACTGCATCTCTCTCGGCCTTGGCAACGGCGTCAGCTTTAGCTTTTGTTTTTTACCCGGTTAAGGCCACACTAGGTGGGGGGTGCCGAGGAACACCTCTCTAATTTATTAAAATAAAGTTTTGAGTACAAAAGCTTTGAGCATACATTTGGTGAAACATGAAGAAAATACAAATGAAAGTAACAGGAAATGTTACATCAACAATTGAAATTTTTTTAGGGGATCCCACATGAAGCCGAAATCGATCTGTTATATTTGTTGTGAAACCGGATGGCCCTCTTGAGATAAGGCCTGAATGTTGTTTCCTCTGGGTGAGATAACCTAAAGCGTCAACTTTAGCTTTCGTAGCCTCATGAGCCTCAGCTTGAATGGTGGCAGCAACAGCCTTCAGACCCTCACCCTTCCCCAAGGCTCGAGCGTCGTCCACCTTCTTCTGAACGGACTCCTTTTCAATCCGGAGGGCGCTCTCGGCATCAAGCAGCCTCTGCCGAAGGCTTGCATTATCCTCCTCCAACTTCTTCTGGGCCTCCACGGATTGCGCCCTCTGATGATTCGATCATTCCATCCTATGGAGAAGCTCAGTGAGGCCAATGCAAGCCTGCAAGGAAACAAACCATGGCGAGATATAAGTTACGGGACAAAATATACTAGGGCCAATGATTAAGGAAAAGGAAAGAAGGGAGAACTTACTGTGACAGAAGCTTGGAGGACCTTTGAGCCGAGGGTATCTTCCTTATGCCGAGAAAGCACTAACTTATCCGTCGGCGGAGTGGCGCCCCTCAGGAATTCCCTCGGGTCTAGCGTGCCATGCATAATGGCACTCCCCTTCTTCACGGAAAAATTCACATTCTCCAGGGGCCAGGACACCGCGGCCCCCTGGACCGGGGCCTCAGAGGAAGAATGCTCCTCCATAATGACGACGAGGGCTTCTTTTTGGTTAATGGCCCCCTTCAGCTTCTTCTTTTCAGGAGGCTTGATGCCCTTCCCGGCGTTCTTTCTTTTAAGCTCCTCAGCTTTGGAGCCTCCGACCTCTTCAGCACTGGCATCAATCTTCTTGGAAGGATCCTCCTCCACTTGGTTCTTCTTGAAAAAGGAGTCTATAGGCTTCTGGGTCGAAGGCCCCTCCTTTTTCCTCTTCTCCTCCTTCACCAACTGTTTGCATAGCTTAGCAAATGCCCTCGGGTCCATGATGTCACCTGCAAGACAACACAACTGAATTAGGCCGGGGGGTCAAGGCATGGGAAATATGCATACAAGCTACAAAAATTCTAAGTACAAAAAATGGAGCCCTAGGGAACTACCTTTTGTACTCTCGAAGGCTCGCTCTAGAATGGGGTACTTCTCATATGTTTCCCCCAAGAAGCGATAGCGCCGGAAGCCGAGGAGATAAAGATCATCCTCAAGGGTCATCTCCTTCAACAGCACATGCTTATCCCACCCCTCCGGGATAGCTGATATCTTCTTCCCCCACTTCTTGAGAGCAGCACAACCCTCCGTCTTAACGTGCCTCCGGAAGTAGTTCCTCAACTCCCTCGGGAATGGACTCTCCGCCATCCTGATGTAGCAGAAGCGATCCCTCCAGCCCTTGTGAGACGAGGGCACGTCATCGAAGAGCCTCCACGGGGCGAGTTGTTGCAGGTTCGCGAACCCCTCAGAGTTCGCATGGCCCCCTCGGCAGAGATTGAAGCTTTGAAAAAATAACTCCAGGCTGGGAGTGGCCCCCGGGACTTGCAGAGATTCAGAAACCCAACAATGTAGGAATGACTATTCAGGGTAAGTTGGCAGGGGGCTAGACCAACATACCTGAGGTATTCCAGAAGGAAGGGATGCAATGGGAACCGGAGGCCCATTGAGACAGAGAGAATATGTACGGCAATGCATCCCTCAGGCGCCTGGGACAACACATCATCAGGCCCCGGTTGTACCACCGTCACCGAAGGCCCTACGTGTAGCTATTTGACATAGCACTCGGCCGGGTCAGCTCTAGAGTTGATCGCCAGAGAAGCTGTGTTCAGCCATGAATACCCTTCGGGGATCCCCACAGGTTTGCCCTGGTCAACAGCACCCCCTTTCTTCTTGGGGCCCCATCTTCTTCTTGTTTTTCTTCCCGGGAGCTACGCTCATAGGCGTCAGGTCTAAAGGCCGAGAGGTGTTGGCTTCACCAGCGGCGCGTGCAGGGAGGAGGGCGACGGTTACCTTCTGCCTCTCTTTCTCCTCTTCTTCCTCGGCGGTTTGAACGGCGAGGGCCAGCTCCTCATCATCATTTACTTGTTCAAAATCCTCGGACTCGGCCTCAGCGACGAGCTTCTTCTGTATCTCCATGGCGACGGCAGAATCATCACCCACCGAAGGCTGTTCGTTTGAAGACTCCACCTCGGAGACGCTTTCTGTTTCAACCGAGGGCTCCCTCAAGATATTTTGGGAATCGCTCTCGGAAGACATGTTATGGAGAAGGGTTTACGGGGGAAAAGTTTCTAAGATCTAAGGCCCTTAAACACTAGATCTAAGGCTGGCTAAGCAAATTGTGCGAGGAGTGTGAAAAGCGGAAGAAGAACTGACCTCAGGAACTTGGATTCGATCGAACTGGAACTTTCCCCTATTCTAATACAGGCCCAACAGGCCCAAGAAGCACAGCAGGCCCAAGTCACTGCGCCCCAAGAGACAGGAGGCCCACGTTGCCCCCGCAGCCGCCTTCGGTCCCCTGGACGAAGGCCCCAAAATCTCACAGAACAACTGTTTTAGGCTTACGAAGCTGCTGGGAGAAAACTGCGAAAACAGTAGCCCTCGGCACCTAGAGCCCTCGGCACCTAGAGGCCCCCGGGGTGAAGAGCCTTCGGCTAATCATCTACGGCCGAAGACATCTCCTCGACAGAATCTCCCACCCACATGCGCTGGATCAACGTACCGAGTACAAATGTCACATCCAACCACCGCATTTAATGCGGCCACATGCGAGTGTCAGTGCCATCCCGTTGAGGTGACCCCTCGACCACCAGAATGATGACACGTGTCCTTATCTAGCATTTATTGATGCTATAAATAGCACCCCTTTCCCCATTTGTAAACCACGCTCAATATCAATATACACTCTCTCTCTACTTTTGCTCTGACTTCTCTCTAAGTGACTCCCGCAGTAACCCCTCGGATAGATACCCCCCGGGTACACTTATCCATCAGTTTAATTAACTAAAATTCCAACTACTTTTATATTTTAATCTATCAAGTGTAGTAAATTATCTAAAATTGCAACTAGTTTAATACTTCAATCTAACAAGTGTAGTAAAATCAACTCTTTCAACTCAAAGGCCCAACACGTTCCTATGAATTTCGAGTGGAGGGTTGTATGGATGTATGATGCAAACAAGTAAGATGGGTCAATAACAAGAGTAGTAAGTTAGCCATATCTTATTAAATGATAATAAGGGTCTGTATACAACACACTTCAATTACGAGCCGAGAGGCCGTTTGTCTATCTCAGTAACAAGAGCTAGAGACAATTGCTATTGCTAGAGTGAATAAGTTGACAACCCCTTACAATGAAATCAAAGCTACTACCTCCGTCCCGCTATGATTGTCCCATTTTACCTTATCGGTCCGTTCCACTAAGATTGTCCCATACCAAATTTGGCAAAGTTTGTGTGGCTCTAAATCATTCTTACTTTATTCTTACTTTATCAATTCATGATCAACCACATAAACCACTTTTTATTAATTTGTGTGCCACTCCCTCTTGTCCCGTTGTTAGTGGGACGGAGGGAGTACTATTTATACTACCAAGAGGTAGGTGACACTGATGATGTGGATGATTGAGTGGCTAGCTTCTCAACCACCAAATCCACTGCATTAAATGCGCTACCCGCCAATATCTTGGTTTCCCGCCAAGAGGCCTGGACGTTCATCCACTCGCTGTTGAGCTCTGGGTGCGTACCAGCACAAGGGTGCCGACTCCGAGCGGTCCATGCTCATCGTCCTCGCTGTAGCCCCTGGGCCACCACCTGGCTAACGGGATCAAGGGAGCTGGGGCCAAGCGTCCGCTTAGTGGAGACGAGCGTCTGGTTAGGCATCTTGATGGACCGAGCCCAAATTGGGCCCTGATGGTTTATGTGCTAGAGGGAATAAGTTGACAACCCCTGTTGGGATATTGATCCAGAGGCCCATACCCGGATAAAAAAGGCCCAGGATACCCGGCCCAAACAACGGATCCATTGCTCTATGATGAGCACGCCCAGTAAAGAATCCATACCGAACGGGGTTCGGACCATATATCATACTTGGGCCAAATTGACAGCGTCATCCGCAAGGTCCAGCATCCCGTTCGAGCAACGGGCAATCAGCAAGTGGCCAAGTGCAATTAATGTCAGATTGTGACATCAGCAAGTGGAAGCATGGATGTTCAAGTCGGTGGAGCAACAGCCAATCAGCATAGAGCAACCCATGCTCTCCATTAGTATAAATAGAAGGTTTAAAATCATTGTAAGGGTTAGCATTTCGATACTCAAGCTCTAGAATAACATTATTACTTTTTTTTCTTGTATTAAAGCACTGTTCCGACCTACCGATCGGGAAGTTTTCCTTGTAATCAGACAGGTTAATTAATACAAGTGGGCTTTTGGGTATTAGTGGATTCATCTTTTATATTTTGTTATACACTTTGATTCTGGTCCATTCCTGATATATCCAAAGTTCGTGTTGGGCTTTCGGATCTACGGGACTTACCTTCAACATTGGCGCCGTCTGTGGGAAACTTGATCAAAAAGTTTCACATTCAAATTATTCCAAAACAACTATTTTTGAAAATGGTCAGAATCAGTTCTTATCACACAAACGATGGTTCGCGCCGTCACGGAAGGAGTCACACCCCGGGAAATCAAACCCCTCAGGGACAATCCAGCCGAGGATCATATCCTCATTTTGATGGGGGCTTTGTAATTCCTGAAGCTCTAAGGAGGAATCCTCAGGCCATGCGAAATATGGCCCAGGTCATGCAACACATGGCAAACGAGGAAGAAGGAGGATCCAATTTTACAGGGAAAACTCCACACACAGAAACGACCACGGCGTCATCCCGCTCGCGGGCCCATCGGGATAATTGTTGTGGCGCTCCACCAACGGCGCATCATATTCCCAGTGACCGGACCTCGATCGGGTCACAAGCCAGGGGACCTACTCCTATTGGTCGTCATTTCCAGCATGACGAACGGAACAATACTAGGGCCGCTCAAAGGCATTGCGATCGGGAATATACAGATTTGAGGACTCCACCACCGCCCCCTTTGATGGCCCAGGAGGAAGAAATGGCTGAAATGAGGAGGCAGATGAACGAGATGAGAGATCAGATGAATAGGGCGCCCGTACAGCCTGCCCCAATTCAGCTCGGGATTACTTCCCCTTTCACCAGGAAATTATGTATGCGGATATCCAGGGAGGTGCCAAACCATCAGCCGGTCAAATTTATGACGGGGTGGGAGATCCCCATGTGCATTTAAGGAGTTATCAAGGAGGACTCATGCTACTAGGAGCACCTGAGGCTGCTATATGCCTGTTGTTTTTCAGTACGCTCAGAGGACCCGCCAAGGAGTGGTTCGGGACCCTGCAACCCGGGTCGATCAACAGTTTTGCCGAATTATCGACGTTATTCTTGGCCCAATTTGCTTCCAGTGCCAACCCAAAACGGCACTTCAGCTACCTGACCAGCGTGAAGCAGAACTCCAAGGAAACCCTCAATCAATTCTTAAAAAGATGGAGGGACGAAACTCTTACAGTTGGAAATATGACGGATGATACCGCCATCACCCTATTCACAAACGCTCTCTGAACGGGAGAATTATACAAGGATTTGAAGAAGAATCCAGGTACAGCGTATGCCGAGGTGTTAGACAGAGCTCGCAAGCATGCTGCCCTGGAAGAAGAGATTATGATCAGGGACAAGGTCGCTGCGCCTACTGCCCCAATCAAGATGGCCGATCGGCTGGGTCCTACCCCAGTGGCCGCTCTCCCTCCTAAGCAAGGGCGATTTACTCGCCTGGTCCTGTCCGTGGCAACCATTTATCAGAACGAGAAGGACAACATTCCCCTTCCGACTGATTCTTCACAGTATATGGGAGTAGACGAGTCTGCTTTTTGTAAATATCATAACAGGAAAGGTCATGCCACCAACGCTTGTAGGGCACTACAAACGACTATTGAGGACTTGATCCGGCGGGGTCATCTTGGCAAGTATGTGAGTAAGGACCCGAGTGCGGTAGGCACTTTAAAACCGATCAGGAAACCCAACAGCTGGCGACGGGATGCCCAACGTGATGCCCAGCCCCAGAATGACGTATATATTCCCCCCAGGGATGAACCAGAAGGCTCGGGAGGCCCCGGAAAGAAACCTCGAATGAAGGTCAAGTTTATATTTGGGGGCGGGGAAACAGGGGATTCGAACGCCGAACGGAAAAGGTTCGAGCGAAGTCTTTATGTAGGATCCATCTCCACCCCCCCCCAGAAGAAAGGAAGGAAGGACCCGATCACGTTCGGGCCGGCTGATTTACCCAACTTGCCAAGCCCGCACAGGGATGAATTGGTGGTGAGCATGTGCATTGACAATGCTTTGATTCGCCGGGTACTGATCGATACCGGGAGCAGTGTGAATGTATTGTATTTACAATCATTCGAGAAAATGGGCCTACACAGAAGTCAATTGACCCACCTAAGAACCCCGCTGGCGAGCTTCACCGGTAACTGTATTGAGGCTGAGGGGACCATCTAATTGTTAGTTGAAATTGGGGACGAAACGCACAAGGCATCACTCCGGATGACGTTCGTGGTGGTGGACATAAAATGTGCCCATAATGCCATCTTGGGCCGACCAGGATTGGAAGATCTGGAGGCAATAGCCTCTGTCCGCCACTCGTGCATCAAATTCCCCACGGACATCGGGGTTGGGGTGGCCAGAACTGATCCGGTGACAGCCCGAACATGCTACCGAGAGGCCCTGAAGCAGATGAACACCCGTGGAATGTGGGTTAACAGTATTGAGGTGGAGACCCACCGAACGGAGTTCGAGGCACATCCAGAACCTGCTACTCTCCTCGAGCAAATTGACCTGGATTTCCCCCCGAACCGAAAGGTAGCTATCGAGGTGGATCTGGAGGCTGACATTCTGGATGGCGTGATTGCTGTCCTAAAAAAGTTTCAGGTATTATTCGCCCGAGGGCCGGAAGATATGTCGGGTATTGACCCAGAGATAATCTGTCACAAGCTTGCCGTTCGGCCTGATGCAAAACCGGTCCAGCAAAAGAAACGATATCAAGCAACCGAACGGCGGGATTTCACAAAGCAGGAAGTGGCCACCTTGCTGAGAATAAAACACATCCGTCCAGTAATCCACGTCGAATGGCTATCCAATGTGGTCCTAGCTCCAAAAAAATCTACTTGGAGGATGTGCGTGGATTACTCAGACCTGAATAAAGCTTGTCTCATGGACCCTTATCCAGTGCCGAGGATCGATCTGTTAGTAGATGAAACGGCCGGATGTGAATTGTTGAGCTTCATGGATGCGTTCTGGGGATACCATCAGATCTTCATGCACCCAGATGATGCAGAGAAAACAGCGTTCGTTACTTCGGATGGTGTGTTTTGCTATATTTTCATGCCATTCGGATTAAAGAACGCAATGGCAACTTTTCAGAGGATGATCGGGATGATGTTCAAAGAAGTGTTGGTAGTCACAATGGAGGCTTATGTTGACGATATCTTGATCAAAAGCCAGAAGAAGGAGAATCATATCCTGGACATAGAAAAGGTGTTCGGGATAATGCAGAAAGCTAACAAGAGGCTGAATCCCAAAAAATGTGCTTTTGCTGTGAGAGGGGGCAAGTTTTTGGGATACATGATGAGCGAGAGGGGGATTGAGCCCAATCCTGAAAAGGTAAAGGAAATTGTGGATATGGAGGCTCCTAGAAACCTCAAGGAAGTGCAGAGATTGACCGGTCGGTTAGCAGCTCTGAGCATATTCCTATCCAAGCTAGCCGATCGAGCTATTCCATTCTTCCAGATCATGAAAAAAGCCAACCCCTTTGAATGGACCGCCGAGTGTCAAACAGCTTTTGAAGATTTCAAGACATATCTATCTTCCCCCTGGTCTTGACAAAACCCGATCCAGGGGAACACCTGTATATGTACCTTGTTGTAGCTGACGTGGCCGTGAGCACGGTATTATTGAAAGAAGAAGATGGCATCCAACGGCCAATCTATTTTGTAAGCAAGGCTTTGAACGGCCCGGAAACCAGGTACACCTTACTAGAGAAAACAGTATTGGCACTGATAGCTGCTATTAAACGTCTAGCACCATATTTCCAGACCCATCCGGTAACTGTCTATACTACTCAGCCGCTCGCCACCATCTTGAGAAACCCAATGGCAAGTGGGCGCATTACAAAGTGGAGTCTTCTGATCGGGCAATATGAGGTGGATTTCAAGCCTCGACCCACTATCAAAGGGCAGGCCCTGGCAGATTTCATTGCAGAATGTACCGCTCGACCCTCGGAAATAGATTCAGAGAACAATGTGCTGGATAACTGGTGGGAAATGTATGTGGATGGTGCAGCTAGTGCCAAGGGTTGTGGAGCCGGAGCTGTGATCACATCGCCCGAAGGGTTCAAAACATATTACTCCATTCATTTTGACTTCAAAGTAACCAACAATGAGGCCGAGTATGAGGCCCTTATTGTGGGTTTAAAATATGCGAAGACCCTAGGCGCCGATCGGTTAAAAGTCCGGTCGGATAGTCAATTGGTGGTAAGTCAAGTAAATGGCACAGCTGAAGCTAAAGAGGAAAGAATGAAGGCTTACAAAGAGATAGTCGAGGAGCAGATAAGCAAATTTGAACAGGTGGTGCTCGACCAAATATCCAGAATAGAAAATACCGAAGCAGATATCTTATCCAAATTGGAAAATGCAGCGCTCAACGATCGGGCACAGGAGATTCCGGCTCATATCCAACGATTTGCCCATCGGAAAACATTGGCAACCCCGGCAATCATGGTGCTCCAGATCGAGGCCATATCTTATGTCGTCCCCAGTTGGGTCATAGATATGACCAACTACCTAAAAGACGGAATCCTCCCACAAGATAAAAATCCTGCTTATCAGATAAAATGCATCCAGAGGAGGGCTTCCATGTTCGAATTGGTGGACGAACAGTTGTACAAAAAGACGTTTGGTGGGCCATATTTGAAATGCCTCTCACCCGATCTAGCAGCAGCCGTAATGGAAGAAATTCATGAGGGTATCTGCTCAAGCCACCAGGGGCCCAAAACACTGGCCAGAAAAATCATCCTGCAAGGGTATTACTGGCCGACTATCCAACAAGACTGCTTTGCGCATACTAGAAAATGTAAAGTATGCCAACTATATGCACCGGTCCCCGGACGGCCAGCCACTTTCTACACTCCAATGACGGTGGCCCTTCCATTCGCGAGATGGGGGATCGACCTGCTAGGTCCTCTACCTACTGCCCCGGGGAACAACAAGTATATCATCGTTGGGATAGATTATTTTACCAAATGGGTAGAGGCCGAGCCACTGGCCAACATCACAGATGTCAAATGTTAAAAGTTTGTCTGGAAGAATATCATTTGCCGTTTCGGAATCCCCGAACAGATTATAACTGATAATGGAAGGCAATTCGTAAGCCGGAATTTTGACAACTACCTTGTCAAATGGGGAATCAAGCATTCCAGAGCATCCGTGGCATACCCTCAGGCGAATGGCCAAGTAGAGAATATGAATCGTACCATCATGGACGACATGAAGAAGAAGCTGGAAGAATACTCCTCATCATGGCCTGATCAGTTAAATTATATCATATGGACTTACAGGACTACACCCCGAACGGCCACATGAGAAACTTCATTTGCCCTTGCTTACGGTTTCCAGGCCAAAGTACCAACGGAGGTCCTAGTTCCCACACACCGAACGGTGCATTATATCTCAGAGCGGAATGAGGACAACCTACGGGCCGAATTACACTTCATAGAAGAAAGAAGGGATTTAGCAGTTGCACGAATGGAAGAATATCACAGGGCCACGAGAAGATACTTTGACAAGCAAGTGAAAATTCGTTCAATCGAAGTAGGGGACCTGGTGCTAAGGAAGCGAGAAAAAAGAAAACCGCTCGAAGGTGGAAAAATGGCACAAAATTGGGAAGGCCCGTATCAAATATGCAAGAAGTATGCTTCAGGAACGTTTGGCCTACAATGCACCGAAGGTCGACCGGCAGGCACATGGAATACGGAACATTTAAGAAAGTTTTATCAATAAAAACGGCTGTTGCCACCTCTGGAATATATATATATATATATATATAGAGAGAGAGAGACATAACTTCCAGAAAATCTCAGCCCATGGTTAACACGATCATTCCGGATGACCGAATGACGAACGGGTTAACAACATGGAAGGAAAATCATTCTCAACTAAGAGAGTTTTGACCCTAGATTTATGAACGGATAAAGGGATCAAAACGGCTTGAAGAATCGATGCTCAGAAAATCTCAGCCCATGGTTAACACGTAGTCATTCCGGATGACCGAATGACGAACGGGTTAACAACATGGAAGGAAAGTCATTCTCAACTAAGAGAGTTTTGACCCTAGATTTATGAACGGATAAAGGGATCAAAACGGCTTGAAGAATCGATGCTCAGAAAATCTCAGCCCATGGTTAACACGCAGTCATTCCGGATGACCGAATGACGAACGGGTTAGCAACATGGAAGGAAAGTCATTCTCAGCCAACGGCTTGGAGTTTGACACTCAGAGAGTCTCATCTCAGCGGTTAACATGGGAATCATTCTGGACAACCGAATGAGGAACATGTTAGCAGTTTGGAGGGAGCCATTATCTCAGCTAATAGAATTTGACCCTGTAATTACGCATTGTTAAAGGGATCAAAATGGCTGGGAGTTTGATGTCAGTGAATCTCACCTCAGCTTTTTAACACGCAAAATCATTCCGGATGACCGAATGAGGAACGGGTTAACAGTTTGGAGGGAGCTGAGTCATCAACTTAGCTAAATTCGACCCTGTAATTACGACCGGGCAAAGGGATCAAAACGGCTTGGAGATGGTGTCAAGACTATAAGTATGGACGAACCGATCGACGTTCGGATAAGGTACGGATTGTCGTCCGGGGAATCGGAACTATGGTTTTGAAAAATCTCGCCTCAGTCATTTACTTGATTTGGAAGCGAGTCGCCCTTTTAGCTATAAATAAGGAATGACCCGATCCGGTGACCTTGCTTACAGTTTGAAAAGGGTTACCTCAGACCCCTAATATGGATGATATGAGCCAGAGAGAATAGTTCGGAATGCATCGGAATTATGGGTTTGCAAGGGAGAGAGTCTCACCTCAGCTTGTTAACACGTGGGATCATTCCGGATGACCGAATGACGAACGGGTTAACAGTTTCGAGGGAGCCCCCTTCTCAGCTGGAAATTTTGACCCTGTGATCACGATCAAAACGGCTTGGAGTTTTTTTTTACCCCAGCTAAAAGATTTTGACCCCGTGGATCACGAATGATAAAGGGATCAAAACCGGCTGGGAATGGTGTCAGAAGTATTGTCAAAGCAAATGACGTTCGATAACATGGGTTGTCATCCGCAGAATCAGAATTTTCAGATAGATGACCGAATGATGAACGATTTTGAGGAAGACATTGTTTCAGCCAAAAGAATTTGACCTTGGCTTTATGACCGAACAGATGGATCAAAACGGCTTGGAAACAATGTCAGAAATATAAAGATACACGAGCCGAATGATGTTCGGCAACACATAAAAGATTATGAGCGAGAGAAATCAAAGAAAAAACAGAAGAGTAACATAACCACAGTTAAAGAAATATATCCAGTTTATTCTTCGGCATTACTAGCCGGAATATACAAAAGAAAAAGAAGAAAAGGCAAAATATACAAGGCTATGCTACTGGAGGACTGCCGTTCGGGGAAGGAGAAGGTTGGGAGCTCTCTGCCTGTGCTGCATCATCAGACACTGTTTTGTTTCTTTTCTCCATAATCCGGTCATAGGTGTTCCCGAACAGATCATCAAATCCCAATTCATCAGGATCAAACGGCTTAGGGAAATGCTCCAGGATCAGATCAAGGTTCCTATCTAAAAGTAGATCCTGACTTTGTGTCACAGTTTTCTCGGTCAGGACATCTAGAAAAGATTTCCCTTCAGGCGTGCTGTCCAGGACATCGATGCCTGCCTTGATGGGATCTTCGCTTTCGCGCAAAAATTGGCCAAGATGAGGTCCCAGGAATTGCCGGGTTGTATTCTCCAGAGCGACGTTCAGCCCCTTACCCCGTTGGTAGTCAACTATCGATTGATTGGCAATCTGGGAAATATTGGCAGTATAAGGCTCAGGAAGATTATCACCATTGACCTTATCAAATTTGACCCCGGCAGATTCGGCAGCCCGCACCTTGGCCCATAGTTCCTTAATTTCCCGATCGCGACGTCGGGTCTTCTCTTGCATTGCAGCCAGGGCAGCCTTCGCCTTCTCACCCTCTTTGGCGCGTTCTTGTAAATCCGCAGCTAATTTCCGAGCGGCAGAAAGAAGGGCCTGGCTATCATCCCGATCACTGGCCAGGAGTTTCATTTCCTTTTCGGCCGTAAGAAAGGCCTTATGATAGTATACACCGGCCTGAAAACAAGTGGCAAATGAAGTCAGATAAGATAAACAGATAAAAAGTAGGAAGGTATGGATCAGAATGAAGTGTACCTTGAGTGCTTCTTGATGACCTGCTTCAAGAAGATCTGACCAGTGAGTCAAGTTCGTGAAACTAGGGGGAACCTTCAGCGAAGTGTTGCACCACATAGATGATGGCATTAGCCCGAACAGGTATCTTCCTTCTGCTCTAGGTCCCATGTTTGAGAACTCAAAAAACATCCGATCATCGACCGGCGCATCAGAAAGAGCTGGAGTTTTCAGTTTGACAGGCATAGATCTTTTGGGCTCAGCCTCCGATCCGGTCAAGTCGACTACGTGATCGACCGGGATCAGTATGTTACCATCATTCCCCCTGCGTTTCTGTAAGGAATAATTGTATTTAGATTTTGATGATGCTATATTAATTAGGACTGTAGAGTACCCCTTTAGAAATTATGTATTAGAATTTTCCCTTGTAAAGTTCTTAGCATATTCGACTACCAGAAGGCCTCTCTACCAGAAGTCCTCCAGACAGAAGATCTTGGTTCTCTGGAGGAAGCAGAATTCTGGTTTCACAACAGTATAGTACAAGGAAAAGATATCCATGAAGGTGTTCTTAACTACTTAGACTGCAAACTCTCACCTGTCTGGGCTTCTTACCAAAGAACTGGAAATCTGGCTGGAATCAGAAAAGAGGTGAATGCAGAACTAAAGAGACTACAAGGACTGGATGAACAAGCAAGAGCTGAAGCAGCCAAGGCTATTATGTAATCAGACACTCTTGTAATCCACCTTAATAAAAGAACATCTCTGCCTCACACTTTGTAAGGCAATTCCTCAATCTCTGGCTTTTCCTTACTTTCTGTTTGTGTTTGTTTGTTTGTTTGCTTTGTGATAATTTTTCTGCTATCTGAATGTATCGTACTCTTACTATTTTCCTATGCCAAGTTGCCCACCAAGATTTTAATGAAAAGTTTTAAACTTTAAATTTTTATGGTGAAGGCACTTCTCTGGAAATAGTTAAAGGGTTTTGGCATCATCAAAAAGGGGGAAATTGTAAGGAATAATTGTATTTAGATTTTGATGATGCTATATTAATTAGGACTGTAGAGTACCCCTTTAGAAATTATGTATTAGAATTTTCCCTTGTAAAGTTCTTAGCATATTCGACTACCAAAAGGCCTCTCTACCAGAAGTCCTCCAGACAGAAGATCTTGGTTCTCTGTCTAGGAACAGAATACGTCAGGGTCTCTGTTACCCTTTAGCGCGACAGAAACCCTCCTGGTTCTCTGTAAGCTACCAACAACAGAAGTGCTCATGATCTTCTCTGATTCAGTTCTCTGCCAATAACACCAGAAGGTCTGACACTTGGAAGAAATCCACAAAGCCGGGAAGTCAACTTAAAGATTCCTTCAACGGCTAGGAGTATGAAACGGAAAAGCTACAGTGCCCGCATTAAATGCTCATTTAATGCTCCCCATGCTCCGTGGAGTAATTGCAGATGATTGGCCGCAATGTCAGGATTACTTTATCCCGAAATAGTAACCCGCCAACTTTACCGGGTCCTACTGGTCAAGTCAACTGCTCGCGCATTAAATGCAGTTGTCCTCCTACTCCTCCAACGGGAAGACAACCTCAGTATAAAAGTTACACTACGAAGAACAACCGGATAACTTTGCAACCTTGATTCAACTTTGCCTACATAATTTTGCTACAACTTTGCAAACCACAAGCAAGATACTCAAACTCTGAAAAGCAAAAGCCTCCTTGAGATTCAAACTCACTATCTTCTACAAGAGAAGGCAGAAGTTGGAAAAATACTCTTTCCAACTCAAGCAAAGTTCCAAGTGTTCTTCAACTCTTCAAGCTCATCACATACAAATCTTTTGTAACGAAGCTAGTTGGAGGAACCCCTGTTTCAACAGAAACTCTTCTTGCTACAAGAAGGACGTCCGAATAACTGGAGTAGTGAAGTGGTGATACTTCAAGGAAACTCAGTGAAAGGACCAGTGTTAAAGGAAGCCAGGCAGTGCATCCCAGGACACATCTAGGCTTGAAGAAGACGTGGAGTGCTTCTTAAGTGCTAGGACTAAGACTTTGTAAACGGCAGTTTTTACAGCTTAGTGGAACAGTGGATTAGAGGAACGAGTTGTTCCTTGAACCACTATAAAAATCCCTGGTGTCGTTTACTTACTACTTTTAATACTTGCACTTAGTTAGAACTGTATAACTCCTTGAACTTGGTATCTGTGTTCAGCAGAACTTGTTCTACGAGTTAACAGAAGGCCTACTGCCTCTGCTCCTCTGAGGCTAACAGAACTCCCTACCAGAACCCCATCCGCTGCCAGTCTGTTCCTTCAACAGAACAGGCTATTCTGTAAATCTGGTACTTAGTTTAAAAAGCTAAAAACCAATACAGTCTATTCACCCCCCTTCCCTCTAGACTGTATCCAGTATAACCGGGACCAACAAGTGGTATCAGAGCCTCCTTGTTCTAATAATCTCTTAGGTTATTTGTTGAACAAAGATCCACTTGTTTTTCTGTTTTACCTCATTTCTATCTGATATAATGGATCACTCCTTGTCCAAGAATCTTATGTTTTCAGATCTTAAGTTTGATGACTGGAGGATCCGGATGAAAGCACATCTCTGTGCCCTACATGATGAGATGTGGGAAGTTCTAGATATTGGCCCCTTCACAAGCTTCCAGAAGGTCAATCCTGAACATGCCATAGACAACACCAGACCCCAGATGATCAGCAAAGCCAAGTCAGAATGGACCACTGAAGAGAGGAGAAAGTACAACCTAGACAATATTGCCAAGGACATCCTCTACAAGTCCATTGATGATAGGTACTTCAACAGAATCAAGAAGTGCAAGACTGCTAAGGAAATCTGGGATACTCTTGAGCTCATTGGAGCTGGTGATGAGCAAGAGAAGGACAACAAACTAACCATAGCCAACAAGAAGTTTGATGACTTCAAACTTCTCCCTGGTGAAAGCATCTCCAAGATGTATGACAGGCTCCTCACTCTCACTAGAGAGATTTCTGAGCTTTGCAAGGATCTCACAACCAAGGAGATCAACCTGAAAGTGTTGAGGGGACTGCCCTCAGCATGGAAGATGAAGGTAGTTGCTGTCCAAGCCAGCAAGGATGTAAAGACTTATCCCACTGATAAGCTCATTTCAGATCTCAAAGCTCATGAGTTTGAAATGATTGAAGAGAAGGAAGATGTACCAGAAGAGAGGACCACTACAGCCCTCACTGCCAGCACATCTAAGGTAAATGATTTTGACCCTTCAGTACTTTTATCTGATGAATATATGGCTGCCTTTGCCAGTAGATTCAAAAAGTTTATGAAGAATCCAAAAGATGGAAGGAGTCCATCTTTCAACAGAAAGCCATACCAGAAGGTCAAATCAACAGAAAGCAGTGGAGAGCTTCTCTGTTACAACTGCAGACAACCTGGTCACTTCAAGGCTGATTGTCCCCATCCTAGAGTGTCCAAGAAGCAAGGACAGGATGGAGAAAAGAAGAAGTACGAGGACAACTCCAGAAGAAGAAAGGCACTTGTGACAGAACAGCTGGAGAAAGACCCTCTGTCAGAAACAGAATCCAGTTCTGACTCAGATTCTGATGAGGCCTTCTGTTGCCTGGATATTGAGACAGAAGACCTTTGCCTAATGGCTCATTCTGATGATGAGGTAACCTCTACTTCTGAATCTAGTTTTTCTTCGGTAGGCTTAGCTTTTGATTCTGATTCAATGTCAGAATTTTGGGAAGAGTTTAAGGCCATACAAGACACTTATTCTTCTGTAACAGAAGAAAACAGTAAGTTGAAAGCTGAAATTCTTGACTTAAAGAAGGAGGTTGAGATCAAAATCAATCTTCTAATCGAGGAGAGAGATCAACTGGAAACTGAAAATGTTTCTCTTCTTAAGAGAATAAGAGAAATAGAGCCTCTTGAGATTAAGTACAAAGCTTACCAGAAGGCCCAGTCTTCCATGGAAAAGATTGTGCTTGATCAATAGATTGGCACTGGTTTTGGTCTTGGTTATGGCTCAACAGAATCAGGTGAGCCTTCTGTAATGCCTAGCACCAGAGTTGCTAAGGCAGATAAGGTCATAGAGCCACTGATTTCTAGCCCCATCTGTCAAGCTGGTGTATCTGGCACCAAGGTTGTTCATGAGGAAGTCAGACCAGAAAAGGGTAAGATAAAGGTTCAACAGAAACCCTTTTTGAAAAATAATGAACCTGGCAGAAAACCTAACAACAGAAGAGGTTTTCAAAATAACAAAAATAAAAGACCATTCATTGACAGACAACCTCATGTCAATCGTGCCAGAAATGATCACCAGAAAGGTAAATATCAAGAGAAAGTTAACTTCAGGCAGAAGAGGTTGGCTGGTCAACTTCAGAAGCCCAAAGTTAACCGTCTCTCTGCTCTTGATAGTATATGGGACTTCTTTCCAACAAAGAAAGCTATGCAAAAGTATGTAAACAGGAAGCATGACCCTCACAAGCATCTGCCCAAAGTGAATCACACTTCTGTCTACTACAACTACCAGGTGGACAATGGGTACCACCCACCAAGGTTTCACTTGATGAGACCAAAATGGTACCAACTACCCAGACTCCATGACCCCCCAGGACCCAGCATTGCTTGGGTACCTAAATCTTTCTTTTGATCTTGCAGGAACTGTGTGCTGGAGCCATCTCTGAACAAGAATGGTTTATTGATAGTGGATGCTCCAGGCACATGACAGGTGACAGAAGTTGCCTAACAGAGTTCCAGAAATGCAAAGGACCTAGAGTTACCTTTGGAGGTAATGACAAAGAAGGTCAAACAAAAGGAAGAGGAAAGCTGATCAGGAACCAGATAATCATTGATGATGTCTCATATGTCAAAGGACTGAAGTTCAACCTGCTAAGTGCTAGCCAATTCTGTGACAAAGGCTACACTGTTGAATTCACAAAGGACTTCTGCTATGTGAAGCATGAGACAACAAAGGAAGTGGTTCTTACAGCATCAAGGAAGAAGAACATCTATGTAGTTGATTGGAACACTGCAAAAGATGGAGTTTGCCTGATAGCCAAAGGAGATTCAAAACTGAGCTGGGACTGGCACAAAAAGCTCAACCACTTGAATTTCAAAACAATCAACAAACTGGCCAGAGAACACATTGTAGAAGGGCTACCAGACATTGTGTACAAGAAAGAGACCCTCTGCAGTGCATGTCAGAAAGGCAAACAAGTGAAGAATTCCTTCAAACCCATTGCTGGAGATCTTTCTACAAGTCCTCTAAATCTGATTCACATGGATTTATTTGGACCTGTTGAGACTCCAAGCGTTGGTGGCAAGAAATATACCTTAGTCATGGT